CGACATCTCGGAGTAATTTACGACGCGAGCGCGGCGCGCTGAATTGAACGGACACGAAACATCGAACGTGACTCTCGAATCCCATGTATGTCAGGTATGCCGCGCGTTGCACCATAAAACAACATTATTATCCCGAAAGCGGTTGGGGTTGGGTCGTCGTCGTAACGGGCGTTATGGTGCAAATTCTCGCCACGGGAATTCACGGGGCCGCCGGGGCCTGGTTGCTGCTTGACGGGGCAAGACGATATCGTCAGACTCTTCTCAACGTAGGTACGTGACGCCGGAGTGCGCGAACATCATTATCGATATTTCTTATCCGAAGCGACTTGAAAGATAATCACGTCAAACTGCCTGATCGATATACTGGACGAGAAAAACTACATTCATAATGTAATTTATAAAAAGATTGGAGAGGGCTATACGTTCACTTTACCTCCCAGCAGGTTCCCAGCACTATATCTCTTGATTATAATGTGCAATAACACGAAGCAAACTTCGTTATTACTTGCGGCTTGTTGCGCTACGAGCGCTTTATCATCGTCGTCATAAGGGCCAAACCGGCAGGCGCGGTTTATTTTTAACGCCCTTTTTGCGTAACGCTAAGTTGGAGCCTTTTAACGAGTTTCGTTGATCCTCGACCCTCCTTCTACGACACGCGATCGTGTCCCGAAAAAAAGGAGTCGTGAGATTTTGGCAGCGAAGAGGCGTTCCGAGTAACTTGGCGAAAATTCGAGGGGACAAACGGAAACGAATGGATTGTGTATTTTGGCGAGAATCCCGAGAGTGTCTGAAGGGCGGACAGCGCTCTAATTGGCTTCTTTCGATCTGTATTAAGTAAAAGATGCATTTACTAACCAGAAATCTATTTTTCAAGTTTGACGAAAAGACGCTCGATATGGTTTTTTGCTTTTTTTTCAAAATTTTCTGCGTTTAGAGCTCTGTTTGCTCTCTACTATAAAATATAATGCAAATTTAAGTAGATGTCATCTTGCATAAGTCATGTTGAACAATTTCACACTCGCATATTACGTCAGTCAGTACCGGGAACACTTCCGTTCAAATTATACTTTATATAATTTATAGAAACTCGAACATTCCAAATAGAATGTACGATTATGCCGAGAATCGGAAGACAAACAAACAGAAGCGACGCACAGCTCCTTCAAACTGTCGCTCTCGCTCCTTAAGAAGTTTTCGGTGAGAGAGAGAGAGAGAGAGAGAGAGAGAGAGAGAGAGAGAGAGAGAGAGAGAGAGAGAGAGAGAGGGAGAGAGAGAGAGAGAGAGAGAGAGAGAGAGAGAGAGAGAACTCCCACAAATCGAGCTTCCTTGTCTTTCGCGGAGACACAGTCGCCAAGTAAAAGCCCGCACCAGCTTACAAGTCATTGACCCTCTCTCTGATGGCAGACGCTCTCGCTCTCGCCAATTCACTCTCACTGTCGTTTCACCCACTCCCATCCGACGGAGACCATCGAGGGTAGAAAGTAAAGGGTGGAGAGTACTCGCTGTTCTTATGGTTCTCGATAAAAGATTCCGTTCCTGACCGAGGAGATCCGGGCAAAAACACAAGAAGTAGCGAAGCGCGTAGCATTATACGGCGGACGTTCTTCTTGAACTTTACAAACCAGGAGCTTTGTTATTGCATCTCGTACGTATCCTTTTCGCGGGTTCTCCATATTTACGAGACGCTTATCATAAAGCCGCGATCACTGACTCAAGTAGCGTTACGCAAATGCGCCGCCTATTCCTCACGCTTCAACGTTCCTCGTTCGATGTGAGATATTTGGTAAGACCACTTACATTTCCGCAAGAACGGACCTCTGCGCTTCGTAGATGCCGCGTAGACGCAGAACGTCGCCGCCATTCATCGACACCGTATCGTACGATCTGTAACACAAACGCAGAAATAACATTGTTACGTATCTCTACGTATCAGGGCCCCCACGAACGCTCAATGAGCCCGGTCGCACAGTCGTCGAGCGCGTATTTCAATTTGATGGATTTCGAAGCAATTGTCCGCATACAAATCTTTCCTAATCTTTCACGTTCTCTCTCCCCCGTCAACATCGTAAACGATAATAACGGAAACATCCTGTATGTATCCCAAGGCGAATCCGGACGTGTATATATATATATATAGATATAGATATATATATATATATATAGATATATATTTGTCCCTTCGTAGGGGAGAAGCTAAAGGCGGTTCGGAACGACTGCTCCGGAATTCCGCCAACACACATCCAGAAGGAGAAAGAATCAAAAGAGATCATACGAAGGAAGGAGCGACCTTAAACGACGCTCCCTACAAATAAGTCGTCGGCCGTCGGCGAGCGGCATTTAACGCGTATCCATCGCTACCGTCGTAACTTACGCAGTTAGATTAATAAGGGTTTTATTTTTTCTTCACGCGACGATTTGTTTCCGTGACGCCGTGACGCTCGTCATCTCCTGCAATATAAATAAACCGCACTTATGACGATCGATAAATTCTCGTATTCGATGCAAGTCGGTGAAAATTAATTATAAGAACACGACTCTCCTTCTCTTCGCGAAAGAGAACGACCTAAACGCACCCGTCTAATAGCCCGCCGATGTAGCAATTAAAACGGTCTTAACGGCGATCGAGCGCTCGTTCGGTGTCTGCAGGCAACCGTATTAATTAGCGTTCCAGCGAGAGCGCTCGCATACGCGAGACTACGATTGAAAATATACGAAGAAAAGCGCGATTTTCCCCCAGACTGTGAAATTACATCCAGCAGAGAATTACATCCCATTCTCATGGACGTTCAAGAAAAGTTCACTTAAAATCAACTATGAACGGTATAACATACGTGAGAAACGAACAAATTGTTTTCAGACTTCCAAGTCTACCATTCGAAGTTTAAATATCACCAACTGAGAACACTGAGAGAACACTTATAAGAATCTCAGATGTTTTCAAGTCGTAATTCGTCTAAAAGAAGAGAGAAGAAAATCGAATGGAGCGGGAATGTGCCGCGCGACTTACGGTATAAACTTTGTCGTGAGAATAACGTACTTCTTGTAAAATATATTGTAAAGTATATATAAATACTCCTTGTAAAGTGTAAAAACTAATAATAAGATTTAATTTAAAAGGCACATTTTTCTTAAATTATTTAGATGCTTAATCTACGGGATATCGATGTACTTGAGTTAATTTCGACGAGAAAGAGAGAGAGAGAGAGAGAGAGAGAGAGAGAGAGAGAGAGATGTGGCGGATAAAAAACGTCCTCGATACAAAAGAGTTGATTTACGCGGTCTACAAATAGACGAGAGCTATCAAGGCGTTCGGCCCCAGCACCGTTCCGAAGTAGATGCAAAAGGCGTTCGCGGCTTTATCCCGGAGCCAGACGTGATTTATTGATGAGATTTCATGACCGCGATAGGCGCACTAAACACGCGTTGCGTGGCAAGAATAAGGCGAAAGAAGAAAGAAAGAGGCAAGAGCATAAGGCATCATATTCGTTAACGCGTCAATGTTACGCACTTGGTTATATTCTTCGAAAACTGATGACTGATCATAAATCATTTAGGAAGCGGCGGATAACAACGCGTTAATCTTATTGGCTCCGACTGGCCGGGTATCTGGGCTATGGCGGTAGGTAGTTCGGTCGGTAGCCTACTTGAGAGAGATACGGCAAAATCGCAAGTTGTGCGAGGAGATATATATATATATATATATAGGTATATAAAGCAGTGAGATACTTTTAATCCATTTGCACAGGCCGGAAGTATACCCGACGAAAATTGTTGTCGGCTATTCATGCTGACGAAGGAAATAGCTGGGGAAATGAAAATAAAATGAAATAAGAGAGAGAGAGAGAGAGAGAGAGAGAGAGAGAGGAAGGGGAAAGACGAATTACGTAATAAAAAATATACGAGGAAAGGTAGGCACATTTCGGATGTTTTATGTTGAAAAAAAACTTTGATTAAAAATCTCGACTGATGTAGCTACAATTCAAGATTCAAGTCAGGGCTCAAAAGCGTTTGCTAAAGCCAGACTAGTGATAATATTTAAGCGCTTGCCGAGGCATATCTATTCGAACAAATTTCCGGGTTATTTCCAGCTACTAATGACAAACGACGCCGAGAGCAGCGGAATCGATCGATGCAGAGAGCAAACATTTCCCGGCGTGCTTGCGCACCGCCAATCGCGGTTTATCCTCCGATCGTAAAGTATCGGTTGGGGAGCAGATTTGCTGGATTGCATTACCGCATACAATACACAATCGCGAAGCGAGCCCCCGCTTCACTGCCGACATACAGTCGCCCGGAAATTCACGGAAGATTAAGAGAACCGCCAAATCGTGCTAAATGCTGTCCGGCGTCTTCGTGTCAAGCTGGCTCGAGAGCGCAGCGCGTTTCCCAATGACTCCGGATAGACAGACGGGCCGGAAAAAGCAGGATGGAGAGAATAGTCAGATGCTCGAAGAAGTGCATTGCAGCAACGTGATACGACAGCAGACAATACGCCGGGGAAAATAAGAAACGGACGCCAGTCGAAGCGCCCTGTTATCAGTGACGCGTAACGAAGATCGAAACCTCTCTGAAATTGCTATGCATGATTTGACGTTTATATTGCGGAACAGATTGCGAGCGATACGCCGGGGTCCTATCTCCTACGGGGCCGTCGCGTCGATCAACGACACCGCCGACGTCCCGGCAAAAAGTTAATAACAACTCCGTGAGGAGACTTCCAGCCGTTGCCAGCCGGCATTTTTCTGCGGCGGAATTAATTCTGTCGCAATGCGTTCGACGTGTGAATGCGTCAACGTGTCCGTATCACGCGGCGATCAGAATGTGCGCGATGTTGTAGTGCGCGTGTGTACGTCGGAAGCTCGTTCACATCGGTGTAATTACACGTAATTGCCACGCTGCCTTCTCGTCAGCTTGTGCTGCACGATGGCGATTTTATCTGGAGGCGTCGCCTGCCCTGCTACGCGATTGATGAAAACTTGAGAGACCTTCTTTCGTTGCAGGATGGCTGGGGGCAATGTCGACGGGTGTCGCGTTGCTGGTGTCGCCGGTGACGATAGCGTTCTGCCGGAGAAAAAGCACCAGAGTCACGGCGGTCTTGGGCGGCCTTGTCACCGCGCTCGGCTGCCTCTTCACTTCGTTCGCCTCGCAATTTCATCAATTGTTCTTCAGCTACGGCACCGTAGTCGGTGAGTGAATAACGTCGTGGTGATAACAGGACAACTGGCAATGGCCACGTCCTACGAGTTATCCTCGTACGCACTGAGAGAAAAGTATATGATATTTGGAACTATAATGATATAGTAACTAAATTATAGTCCGAAATATCATATTTATAGTAAGTAAGTGTTATCATAATATCGGTAATAATTATACGATATAGGCATAGTATAACCAACCATATAATATTTTTACTAAGAATTATAGTAAGTTGAACTAAAATTATTGTATGGATACAAAATATAAAATGGTAGGTAAAGTAACTCTTTTATATAGTCAATATTACCGGAATATTTGCTGAATAAGGACAGATGTAACTATATGAATATTAAATCTCACTATATTTGTGAATGAGAAATTACCATATATGTGGTAAAAGTAACTAAACAATTATTTAAGACAATCATTGACTATATACTTGTGTTTATTCTACTATATTTCCACCATACAGGTTCCACGAACTATAAAAATATGGTTGACGCCAAAATGAACTATAGAAAAATATAGTGAGATTATATAGTTAATTCAACTATATTTTTCTATCAGTGCGCAAATTTCCGCAAACACGCAAGTCAATGCAAGTTTCAGAGGTTTAGTTCCCGTGGTAAAATTTCTCATCGATTGATGCGTCGAAGATGCTGGGCGAGCAGATTTCTGAGATTTTTGAGCAAACACATATAAGGCAATTTGAAGAACAAAAATTAAGAGCTCATACGATGTTAGACATGCGTGTAATTTTGCGGTACATTAATGTTACCGTTTGAAAATTATCGCGTCGCAATTATCAGTAAATTATTCCGGAGCCCTCGCTCAACTCCCGCTTGATACGTTTGTGTGAGTCATCAGTTTCGAACGATAGAGAGGAGACGATGATGTTTAATCCGTAAAATGAGATGTAACAAAGCCGATGCGATGATAAGCTGGTAAACTATGACATGTAGCATTGTTCTAATATATATAGGCCATAATCGGAGGGTAGGAAACTACGTCCTTGCTGACTCCGCGTTGCCAAATGGTTATTTAGACTCGTGAGTCATCTTTCTTTGTTTCCGGCACCCATTAGTCGGGTCCCGCCTTCGTTCTTACCCTAACGCTCCCTTTAACGCGCGAAACTTCGCGAGAGTCAACTCCCGACAGCAATTTCGAGAACGCAGGGAGTAGTCGACGAAAGTGACGAAATATGTCGTAGCGAGCGGGCTTCTACGGACGACCTCAAAGATTTGAGCCATCGTTGTGTTTTATATCACACAGGGATAGGGGTTGGAATGACGAGAGACTGCAGCACGCTGATGGTGGCTCAATATTTCAAGAGGAAGAGGGAGCTCGTTGAGATCTTCATCGTGTCGGGCAGCGGCTTGGGCATAGCGGTTATGTCTGCTTTTATAAAGGGCGCGATCAGGTGCGTTGAATGGGCAGCGAGAGAGAGAGAGAGAGAGAGTAACGAACGGTAAAAATCCCTTCCGACGGATTCGACTACGTGAGACAATTTGCCGAGGATTCGCTCGGTTTGCAGCAAAATCGGATGGCGGCTCGGTCTTCAGGCTGTCACCGGGGTGGTTTTCCTCACCTTCATCCTTGGCACCTTCTACCGCAGCGCCTCGTTGTATCACCCGCAGCGACGGGCAATTCTGCACCTGAAGAATCAGAAGCGCAAGATAAAGGACAAAAACAAGGCCGATGACAGGCCGCCGTTTTTCGACTTCAGCACTCTGAAGAGCAAAACAGTGAGGATATTACTGGTGTCTACCGGGATCTCGGCGTTCGGGATCAACACGCCGATATTTTATCTGGTAATGGCCGAAGGGAACCGACTATTTTAAGTTTAGGGGAGACCCCAGAGAGAGGATTTTTTTATTTACAGGCGCATCAGGCCGAGGAGGAGGGTCTCGGCGACACGGTCGTCCTGTTGCAGGCTTATCTCGGACTGGCTTGGACTCTCGGCTGCGTGGCTTTCGGGCTTCTGGTCGTTCATCGTAACGTCGAATGCAGGATAGCCCGTCAATATCTCACGCAGGCGGCTGTCTTCGTCTGCGGACTTTGCATCCTCGCTCTCACCGCGGTCCAGGGAAATTATCACGGATACGTGATGTTCGCGTGGATTTACGGTAAAGTGATCTTCGCTCGAAATAGAGCTCGACCGAGAATGGGATGCCTCCACGACACAGAGAACTCCAAGGTTCTCGAAAAAATCTGTCGCTTGATATTCTTAGGTATAGCGACGCGAGGCGAGCATTCGGCGTAAAATCTTCTTTGCTTCTTTGCTTCTCTTTGTCTTCCTTTTGACAAGGTGGCAACGTAATAAATGAGATTATGTAATCGGAGCGACTTCCAATTTGCACGTATCACTTTCTTCCTTTCTTCGAGGTAGATCGCGGAAGATCGATGATGCAAAGAGCGGGAGCCGGCAAACTCACACACAGTTTACGACTGCGAAACGCGAGAGTAATGGGGATTTAGTGGCACGATTTATCCCGCTTTTTATCCCTTCCTTCACACGCAATAAAGTCCTTCGTGATCGAATTACGAACGATAAAAAAAAAAAAAACACTGTTCTCTCTGTAGGCATCTTCTGCGGCGGCTATCATTATAGCCTGAAAATGTACACGTACGAGAGAGTGAGGGCCCGGAACTTCGCCAGAACGTGGGGATTCGTCCAGTGTTCCCAAGCGATACCAATCGCAATCGGCGTACCGATATCGGGTAATTAAAACGAAAATTATCAAGCAATGCCCATGTTTCAACGAACGACATTATTCCGTCAGTCAGTGACATTTTGGTTTCATCTAGTCTTCGTCCTTTTAAACACGACCTTTCTCAAACGACCTTTCTCCGCAAAAAACACTCGACGTCGAGTGAGCCAGCCCTGTAACGCATAAATCTGCCATGCTTTGTAGGATACATAAATGTGGGTTGCGGCGGCAAGGCCGGCTACTACTTCAGCTCGACGTGTGTCTTGGTTGGCAGCTTCACTCTCTTCTTCATCGATTTGCACCGAAGAAATTTGTCCAAGCATAAACACACCAGAGCGAACGGCACGAAGCACCTGTGTGCCTCGGACAGCTGTCCTAAACGACGACGTGCGTCGTTCAGTCAGGAGCCTGAGAACGAAGGGCCCCACCTAGCCGCCGCTGGAGCGGCTGGAGCGACGGCAGCGGCGCTTGTTCTGGGTGCCGACATCGCTCCAGCACAAGGTGAGTACCTCGTGTCTTTTGCAATTTGCATAATCCCGCGAACAAGAGCAAATGATTACACGAGTGATCCCGAAGGTAAAATGAATTCTCGCCAAGTAACCACTACATTACGTCGTCGGCTAGGTGAAGCAATGGACGTCCTAGGGGCCGACAAGCCAGAGCTTACGTGCATCTCGGAGGAGGGTATCGCCGACATGGATCTACCCGACAATCTGTTCGAGGATCTCGAGTACGTGGGCGACTGTATAACTTCGTGTAACAAGGTCGAAAACTACCTCATGCTCTCGGAATTCGAGAACAACCTGATTGCCGAGATACCGATGATTATGGATCGCCGCGGACGCAGATGGTCCTTGGCACGATCCAAAACCGGTCAACCGCTTGCCAACTGCGGCCAGACGAGCGGCGCGCAATCGACAAACGACGAGGAAGAGGTGAAGTCGAAGTGGCGTTTTACGAACACCGCCGCGCCGTCGAACACAAACAACCGAATGATCACTGTCATCGACGAGGCGAGCGCGTAATCTCGAACACGGACGAGGCGGTGTCGTTAACCCTAAACTTGACAAGATAATTCAGGAGAAGCAAATCTCAAATGATACAATGACAGGTGTGAGAGAAACAAAGACGAAATTTCTCAATAAGAACAAAGAAGAAAAGTGTGTAACTATTAACGAATATTTTTAACGAAATTTTTCTCGAGAATACACTGTTTATATAAAGCGAAAAATATACTAATGCTTAAAGATAATAAAATGGAAAGAAATATATAAACGTGTAATTCATATACAGATCTTAAAAATTTATAAACATATTTTAATAGCGAGAAGAAATTCAATGTCTAAGTGATGAAGAGCAAAATTGTATCTTGTAACCGTTAGTGCAAATTGCCAAGTGTAGGGTTAAAGAAAGTCCGCGAGGCTCGTTTTCTCATCTATTACAGAGAACGCACGCAGTGTGCTAAATTTATTTGTTTGCATTAGCAGTCGACGAAATATGAATCACCGCGCGTGATTCGCGTGAGATTTTCCAGAATCAAAGTTCTTCAATCCGAGCAGTTTTAATTTTGGAAGAGAGGGGAATTACGAAAGATACGTATGAAAAAAACCAAACCACAAAATACGAAAGATTGACTGAATTATTCCGGCTACAAAAAATACGATTTACCGATATTTAGTTGCAAATTATTATTTATCCCCTTTCTGTCGGCTGAAGTACTCGCAGAAGTTACGTGACTCATAGTCGGCGGATATACAGTGACACGATACCCTGGACACGGCGTAAAGCAGTTCCTTGAGAACGTAATCACTCGAGTGAGGCGCGATCTCTCGGCTCGCGCGATGCAATTAAGGACAATAATGTCGGCTTTCGACGAGAGGAACCACGGAAACGCTCCGTCCACATAAAAACAACCTCGACTCGCGACGGCGTATTGCTTTGTGTAAGCTTCCTGCTAATTCACTGTCCGAATTATAAAAAGTATAGCTCGTCGTTATTATATATAGTTAACTCGCAGGCGGCATGGCGATTTATGTCTTGAGATACTTGAGAAAGTAAACTTCAGGGATGAAACTTCGCTGGTTACGTGAACGTGAGACGGCAAGCTCAGGCTCTCTTGGTACAAATGTTGCGATTTACGCGAAGATTATTGCGCGTCTGATAAAGTAGTGATTGAAGATACGATCGTGGCGGAAATAACATCGATAGCTGATTAAAATTCAGTGGAAGACAAAAAGAGTATGTCAAGGCACACGTTTTGTTAAGAACCTCTCATCCTCATCGATTTTCATGAATGTTCCAAGTGTCGATGTAGGTTTTGCTACGATTGGATAAGAACTGGCAGTTGAAGAGTGAGAAGTAACGCTTGTACGTAGACACGCTAGCTTAAGATTCGAAAACTAGTCCGATCGCGATTTAGAAGCGACAGTACGTCGTGAAAAGCATATATACGTATATATTGTCTATAACAATTTTTCGGTCAATGACAGCATGTAGCGATCGACTCCACATTAATAATACGTAATAATCTATTTATTTGCCCCTTTTCTATCATATTATTTATATTAGAGTGTAAATAGTCGCTATTGCTACCGTGTATATACACTTGCGTAAAAATATGCAGCCGTCGGAGTAGATTGCTGTAACGTTAATAACGTCAATCGCGTCTTTCAGGATTTAACGTGAGAGAGGATCTACCCGGACAAATCATATACCTTTCTTGAAACAATATTGCGCCATAAAAATAATCGATATTCAAAACACGTTATTGTGTGTGTGTGTATGTGTGTGTGTGTGTGTGTATGCGTATGTATGCGTGTATAAGGCGTGCATTCTTTTATAATTATTTATACAATTAATATAAAAGTCAAAGAATAATTCTGCTATTTAAAATACAGCGCGAAATTCACGAGAAACAAGAATCGCACTTCTATACAATTTGGCTCATAGATATCTTTTTTTCTTCATAATATTTTCTTTTCTCAAACAAAGTTACACAATTATATTAAAAAAAAAAAATGTAATAAGAAAACCCATTCACCGCCTACCAATTTCTTTCAATAAGTAAGTGTCGAATCGCTAAGTATACACCATGAGAGACAAAAAATTGCCGAATAATTGTATTATCGTGATGTTATTGATATAAAATTGTGATTCTCAAATACATGAACCTCGTGTGTACCTCACCATCATTTCTCGCAAAACATCCTGATTACAGATTCCATATCCCCAAACGAAAAATTTTCGAACGAATATTCAATCAACATGAAACGCTCTCGGTGCGCCGTAACAAGTACGATTTGAAATTGGACCAAATTAGAAACGATACGACCAAACAGTCTCATTACGATTCCAATGAATGCGATATCGATAACGTCGCGTTAATTATGCATTTCTGCTCAGCCTATTAATTTCAAACAACACGCGTATTACGTTACACACGGCCGCACATATACATTCGTTTCAGCGACCATCAGATAAGAGTTATATCTCTGAATCACCGTGCAGCCGATGACTCAATTTTGCTCTTTGAAATTAAAGTTTCGGGACATGTCAATTTGAGAACAGAAACAGGCGATCTAACGTGTTGTCTCGTCGATTTCGAATAGTTTCGTTCTCGAATTGCTCGATTTGGCTTTCGATTTGATTTCGAATTACCGTCGTTTTGTTTCAACTTGAGCGGGGCGAATGTTCTAGTTTCTTTATCGAAATTTTCATAGAAAACTGCCCGAGAAGTGTGTTAAAGATCGAGCCGCGTGTTTATCATATTGTCTTGCGTGTCGCGTTCATTACTATGCAATTGTGTGTGTGGCGATTGGCACGATGTGTATACGATAAGAGATAGCACGATGGCGGACAATCGCTCCAAGGCGGCGTCTCGCGATCAAATGCCCCTGTGGCATGCGTCGTGACGGTATTCTTGTGAAAAAAGTTGGCGTGACTCGACCGAGTCCTCGAGGTAAGTCCTGACCGTAATTTTCACGACAACAGATCCCAATTATTAAGCCAACTACCTATTTCCGTCTTTCCACGAATTCTCTCTCGATTAGCATCAGGAAACAAGGCCAATTTGAGAAAATCGTACGTACGGTAAGACTATAATGTAACATAATGATCCCGTATAATTATAATCGCGCTAATGAGACAAAAAAGAATCTTATTCATTTATAATTATTTGTCCCGCGTTTGGCACGAAAGATTTATTAAAATTTCGGTATAATTCGGAAATATCACTTTTCCGTCCCCGAACGACGAAACCACTGGAACGCGATATCGCGAGACGAACATCATAAATCAAGCGAAGGGTCTTGCTTATCCCGATCTCCCGGGTCATATTTCGGGCTCCTGGATCTTTTATGAACTCAGCTACGTGTCACTTCAACCCCTTCTTCAATCAGTCTGGTCTCTCGCATCTCCCTGCTGCCCTCATCGGTTAATCCATCGATCATCCAGCAACCGTTCGTTTTGCCAGCAATCTTGATCAGATCTCGATAGAGATGTGTATAGAAGCACCAGTGTAGGACGCGATGAACCGCACAATTTAACAATTCGAGATAAGAGACGACGTGTCTTGCAGCGTTAGGGAAGGACGACATAACGACGATGGCGTACGGGAAGCTGCACGTGCTACCATTGAGCCTGTTCATCTTAATTCCTGTGACATTCGTGACTACGTAAGTCTCTTGAGAGCGACGGAGTATGATAGGTGAAACGGTGAGACGGCCAGAGGTAGCGATAAGCCGCAACAAAGATATTTATCAGGAGTATTAAGATTTTGAGTGATTACCGTGGATACAATCCTTTTTCTAAAATCTTTCTCGACTTGATTAATGCGACTTGATTTAAATGCTTTCAAGATGAGATTTATTAATATCGCATTATTCATCTTACTTGTTATCCTTAAAAAATCGCGATCAATCAAATTGTTTTGATTGATTGAACGAAACGCGAAATTCTCGATATAGATAACAGTTGGTAAATTATTAATCTGAATTAATCAGTTGCGTGAGAAAAAAGAAAATCGTTTCTATCTCTCGTTTACATATCTCTCACCCCTTGATCATATAAATATTAAATTTTCCGTCGGAGCAGCGAGTGCATGCCGCGAAATTATTAACGACGATGAGTCCATCGTAAAGAAGCTTTGCGTACCGCCGAGAAAGTCGTGGAAACATAATGCGAACGTTTTATATACTCGCTCGCGCCACACAAGTTCATAGTTTATGAACGGCTCATGTTTCAGATACACCATATCAGTGCAGTGGGACCACGTGGTGCCTGGGTTCCCTTATATATCAGAGACCGGTACACTGTTGCCGGAATCGTGCATATTTGCACAATGTCTGAACATCGTGGCCCTTTTGCGTATGTACAAGTCATTCTAAAACAGTTCTTTTCAAGTAGATTAAATCCAAATAAATCACATGTATTTTTCGTGCTTTCGAATCTATACATTCCCCTTTCAGATAAATAATTATCTGAATAAGGATATAGAGGAATGTCAAAATAAAATCAATTGCGAAATGTGCAAATATAAAAAAAAAATCTGTGACCAACAAATTGCAGTAAGATGAAAAAACTAATGAGCGTAATAAAAAATTCCATCTTCCACAGTCGGATGCTGCGTTTATATCAGACACCGACAGGTTCTGCAGTGGCAAAAGGAAAGAGGTCATGACCTGGTGGGCAGAAGGCTCGTGGTGGTGACCGCATATTGCGGCGTCCTCGCCTGTTTCGGTCTCGACATACTCGCTAATTTTCATGCCTCCGTGGTCGCCGCTCACATGGTGGGAGCGATGACTTGCTTCTCCGCCAGCATTCTCTATTTCTGTCTTCAGGTACATCGTAACGCGCATCTTTACGTTCTATCGTGAATTCTCGCCGGGAGACATTCATTTACCGACAATGTTGCAACCATTCGTTGACGGTGCCAGACGAACGTTTATCCTGAAAGCATAAAGTCGAGAGAAGGCTTTTCTCCCGAGCCTCTCAACGTTAAACATTCGCAGACCTCTATATTTTATATCTCTTTACATTTTCTTTTTCATTCCCCTTGTATCTTTCTTTCTCACTGTATATTTTCTCTTTAGTTAATTCAGCTCTGATTCTCACAAAAATGTGTCTCTTCCTTTTTTTCCTAAGACTCTTTTTCGTAGATTTTTTTCGCGAACAGTTCTGTGGAATTCTTCAAGTCGACAATTAGCCGACTTGACTATAGAACAATAAATAGAGACTAATAGAGCAATAAAGACTTTTCTTGTGAAAGAAACAATTTTGCTCTTGTAAAATATTAGGTGTACAAATGAATAATCCAAATTATTTTAAGCAGTTATGAAATCAATTTTAAATTGAATACATTTTCCCGCTCTTTTGTGATTATGCAATTTTGACATATAGCTATTAAAAAAAACATGTAGTTTGGCGAAAGGCCCAATATAACCTTCAAAAGTATTCAGTTCAGTACAGTCGAAAATGGCAACAGATAAGATGCATATCCGACACTGCATTCTTTACGAATTCCAACAAGGAAAAATGCTGCAAGAACGTGCGAATCGATTTGTTCCTTTCTCGGCGAAGGTGTTGTATCGTACGATGTGTGCGCATTTTGCTTTAAGCGGTTTAAAAGCGGTAATTTCAGTCTAATCGACAAACAACGCCCTGGAGGCCCTCCGAAGTGCGATAATGATGATTTGGAACAACTGCTCGCTGAGAATTCGGCATAAACACAAAAAGAGCTTGCAGAACAGTTGGGAGTAACGCAGCAAATGATTTCCAAACGCCTATATGAGATGGGAAAGATCCAGAAAGAAGGAAAATGGATTCCGCATGAACTCACTGAAATCAACAAAAATCAACGAGTGGCAACGTGTCTTTCTCTTCTCAATAAGCAGCGTCGAAAGCAGCTTTCTTGTGGAAAATCGTTACGGGCGATGAGAAATGGATACTCTATGACAATCCGAAACGCAGAAAGTCATGGGTAAATCCCGGCGAATCATCAAAATCGGTCGCAAAACCCAATCGCTTCGGAAAGAAGGTTCTTCTCTGCATTTAGTGGAATATCAAAGGCATGCTTTATTATGAGTTGTTGGAACCGGGTGAAACAGTTACTGCGCGGACTGCTACCAACGTCAATTAATCTGCTTGAGTCAAGAATTGGAACGAAAACGCCCATATACTGACAAACTGGGAGAACGTCCAGTGAAATTGTTGCATGACAACACCAGGCCACACATTGCTTCCAATACAAAAGACACCATAATGAGTCTTGGCTGGGACGTCTTGCAGCACGGCCGACGTATTCACCAGACATTGCTCCATCCGATTATCACTTGTTCCGGTCGATGCAACACGCCTTGTCCCGATATACACTTCCAATCAGTGGATGAGATCCGAAAATGGCTTGACGACTTTATCGTGTCCAAAGACGTAACATTTTTCCGAGATGGAATTCATCAGCTGCCTGAAAAATGGCTTAAAGTTACAGAAAGCAACGGCGAATACTTTGATTGAACAATTTAATTTACTTTCTTTTAAAATAAACCTTGAATGTAGCTGAAAAACTTGGATTATTCATTTGTACACCTAATAATTATAACGAATCTTTTCAGACATATCTGAGCTATAAGATGGTACCAGCCGTGAACAACATGATTGTTGTCTATGTACGTGCGTTTCTCTCGGTTCTTACGTTGAAATTGACGATCGCCTCGATCGTTTTCGGCCATATTTCGATGTTTGAATTTCAAGGTAAGCATATACCACATACAAGTCACGACTTGTGTGTAATATAAAATACGTAACTTATAATTACGCAACCTGTAACGTATTTTTGTTAGCGAGGTTTCGTAGTTATCCGCACGTAAAGCAAATAAGTGCACAAATTTATCGGCACAAAGGTTTCGACTTTGTTATTGAAGCAGAATTAAAGTCGAAGTAAAATACATTAAATATTCAAGGGTTTGAAGTAATTGATACGAAGATAATTAGCTTGTTACACGCGCAGGTCACGATTACAAGAAGTGGCTGCCGGCGGACGGTGGTTGGGGCTGGCATATCTCTAGTACGATATGCGAGTGGATCCTCGCGATCGTGTACTGCGCATTTCTCCTCACTTTCGTCCCGGATTTTCGATTGATTCACTTCGAGGACCCCGTAGTTACGGTACGTCGATGAAGCTGTCGTTGCTCGTAAAGGAGCGATCGTTAACGTGATCAATACTTTTGTTTCAGTTAATATATCTGGACAAAACTGAAAGCACGGTGCTTGCACGGACGTTTTGCAAAGGGAAGTGACCGCGCCGCAGGATACGTGAATTATTTCTTACGTCGATTTGTCAGGCGCCCTCTACGTCCACTTATAGTTAAACTAACAACCTACCTAATCTATCTTCCACATTTGACTATTATCGCGTATGATCGCAAGGAAAATAGTAGAACGACAGGAAACTGAGAAGCGGAATATATAAGGCAGACATATTGCAAAGTGCAACGGTGAAAAGGGAGAATGATCGCACGACAGATGGCTAAGAAGCGACATATGTCGCTTCGTCGAAAATGAATAAAAATGTTACTTGTAGAGATATACTGCCATATATAACAGAGACGGAAATAAGAAAAAAGTAACACAATCACGCGACGCGAGCAGCGACTTTCTCTTAAGACCTCATTAATTAAAATGCCATTAATTTAGATACAGCTGCGAGATACGCCGTAATTACTACGATGATGGTGGATGATGATAGATATAAATCAAGGATCGAAACGTCATATTTGGATGGCGTAAGATCGAGCACACGCGGGGGCGCAGGTGGAAAAATTGAAAACTCATTTGATTGATTATGCTGCTCGAACGCGACAGCTGCAAAGTTCTGCTTCTATCGTGGTGATTACAAAAAATAATGTGCATTTAACGATGATATTTAGCGACTTGATGAGATGACGATAATACGATAATAATTTTTTGTCATATTCATTCTACCGTACCGTTTGTCATATTTACTCTACCATATTTATTCTATCATAATTTTCATTTGCGATTGAATTTATATCGTTTACTACAATATCCTATTTCTTTTCACGATATTAAATTTGAAAAAGTTATATTAATAAAACGTATTCTAGAACATATTTCTGTAACACTGTATGATATATCAAATATCATTTTTGTCGTTATCCTACCGAACACCAGATGTCGACGTATTACGTATCGTGCGGTCGATAAAACCGCGTCGATGAACTCTTTGTAACATACACTTTGTGCTCCAACCGTATTCAGCACATGTTCTAGTATTGCAACTGATGGTACCCGGTTCTTCAACGATCGAAAAATTCGAGAGTAGTTAGTAACAAGGTCAATCAAAATCATCAATAGATCAAATACGTGTGATAGTAAATTATCTTTGATAAATAAAAAAAATTCTTTTTCAAAACACCGTATCTATCTCGAAGTAACAAGTGGCCGATAATGATAATAGCACAAAACACTTTATATCATTATAAACAAGCATTTGTTTGATCATTTATAATTTTATATAAACTGTAAACATAAAACTCTTGTTGCAACGCAAATTATTGTCCAATTTAAAAACTTAATTTTCTTAAACGATTTATGGTACAATTTTCTTATATGTAGGCAGTCTGAAAAGTTCTCGGCCTAACAATGAAAGAAAATTTTGTTTACCGTGAAATATGTTTTATTTTTCAATATAATCTCCTGAAACTTCAATACATTTATTCCAACGTTTTTCCAATAATTCAATACCATTATTAAAGTGTGATTCCGAAAGGTCTGCAAAATATCCATCCACGGCTGCAATAGCTTCGTCATTTGATGTAAAACGCTTTCCAGCCGGGAATTTTTTCAGGTTTGGAAACAGATAATAGTCAGAGGGAGCCAAATCTGGTGAATACGCTGGATGTTCAAGCAATTCGTACTTTAATTCGTTGAATTTTGTCATTGTCAAAACACTTGTGTGAACACGTGCATTGTCTTGCAACGATTCTTTTCCTCTTTAAAGCAGGTCTTTTCTCACGAATTTTTGCATCCAATAGATCCAAAAGGTTACGATAATATTCAGAGTTAATCGTTTTATCTTTCTGAAGATAACCGATCAACAAAACACCTTTGTAATCCCAAAAAACTGTTGCCATAACCTTCCCTGCTGATGGAACCGTTTTTGCCTTCTTTGGTGCACGTCCACCGGCTTCAATCCATTGTTTCGACTGTCCTTTTCGCTCTGGTGTGTATAGTGGTGGATCCAAGTTTCATCAACAGTTATAAAACGACGCTTGAAATCCATTTTATTTTGCTTAAAACAATTAAAATGTGTCAAACACGCTTGAGAAATACGCATTCGAATGCGTTTTTGGTCAATTGTTAGCAAATGCGGCACCCATCTTGCACAAAGCTTCTTCATATGTAATTCTTCATGCAAAATATTTCCAATTCGTTCTTTTGAGATGCCTATGATCTCAGCTATTCGCCGATCTAACATATCCAACATATCATAGACTTGTTGAATGTTTTGTGGTATTGTAGCAGTTTTTGCCAACAACCTTCGCGTGAATCATCTTCGAGGCTTGTACGACCAGATTTAAAAAGAGCAGCCCACTTTTTCACAGTGGAAATTGAAGGTGATGCATCCTTATACACTTTTAACAATTTCGGATGAATTTCTGTTGGTGTTAAACCATCCAAAACAAATTTAACCATCCAAAACAATTTAATCACTGCACGATATTCAATTCTTTCCATTTTAAAAAAGACAATGAAACTGGTGCTACTACCTGGTGCTCGAATGACTTGACAGATCGAAATAAAATTTTACATGGGTTTATATCAGGGATGCCATTTTCCAATACAATTATAGTTTGACAGTTTCTAATGCCATCTATGTGTCAGGCCGAGAACTTTTCAGACTGCCCTCGTACATATTTTAATTTAGCTATTTTTACTTTAACCTGAAACCAAGTTAGAAAGCTAGAGATTTCAAATTCTTCTGAGGAATCAGATTTCATTAGATAAAGATTTTATCAGATAAAGAAGTCCTATTGGACTTAGAGTCTATTCAAATTGAAGAAGGATACCTATTTCAATACATATTTGATAATTTTCCATATCTACTTTTGAAGTGGTCAGCGATATTAATCTTGGCAAGACAAACGAATGCATCAGCGACAGGAAGCACAGTTAAATCCAGCACGCTAGACCAGATAAACAGTCTTTGGCGGACGTACTGCTAGTCGACAGAACGATAGCGACCCGGCGGCGCAGCTGCCGAGAGCGTCGTATTCGTTGACGCAACATCGATCGCGCACCTACCACCACAAGCCATAACCTCTGCATTTCCCGACGAGTTTCACCGCGACTCTGCGGAGTTTCGCCCTTCTGAAAACTTGCCGTGAGACACGCCGGCCTAAAAGCTGACCTTGTCGACTTCAAAATTCTCAATTGCGTGTGATATTGTCCTGCGATTTCCAGCATGTGCTCTACAAAGTGAAGACTCTGAAGATACTCCGAGCAACCTTACGAAAGAGAGGCTAGCGCAGAGACACCACCGTCCCCCTGAGGTGGAAATTCTGCGAGTCGCCGCCCGATGCATCGTCAAGTGCGTTTCACCAGTAGTTTCTGCAACTTGTGCGACATTAGTAGTGTTTAATTTCTCGAACGACGCCAAGAAAAACGAGATCTGCTCTCGATATATTTGCATTTTACTACAATACGCAGAGCGAAAATAAACACGAGCGTATAACTTTGATTGTTGCACGCTACGTTATCAATTTTATCGAAATATTACTTATCGATTTTCGTTCTCGGTGCATGACGAGAGGAAAATTATGCGGAAAAAAAATACGTAGAAGTATTGGTTAACCGGGGGTTCCCAGCTCACGGGGAATTGTCCACATCATCCTCGTGGCCTTGTGCTATATATCGCACGCGTATTTTTTATCTAGGTAGACAACGCCCGTTCATACATTCGTTAGTGACGTGTATCGTTCGTGGTATCGTTCGTGGTGTTATCAACGTGAAGTCATTTACATGAAAGCGTAATGTAAATTTATCGCCAGTGTCACGACGGACTTTGTACGAATACGTTACCTAACGTAACTGAACAAATCGTTGAATTCACAAGGTGTTGATGGATGCATTCTGCGTGTGCGTATAAAATATTCAAGATACTTTTCTATTTTTCACAATTAGTAATTACCATATATATATATACTTTTCTTTTCTTGCTTGCAATTTTTGCAATGTTTTAACATTAAATACCCTAATAATCAAGCTTCAAATTAAAATACTATAAGAGTACGTTTGCAACCAATTTCTCGAAGAATAAAATTTTTCATAATTTACTTACGTCATTAAAAAGTCCATTTACCAAAATTGAATTTACTTTTTTCATTCTTCGGAACACGTAACAAAACGTAAAATATGCAATTTATTCGTTGCATTTGATATGTATTTCTTTTTTCATATCACGTATAATTTTAACCGATGTAATATATCGAAGAAATTACAAAAAGAAAATATTACGTTTACATGCAGAGTCATCGCCAATAAAACAGACATCGCGACATCGCGATTTACTGGCAGATAATATTAATTACGGTTATATATCGTCAAAATATCGTTCGTACTGCGAGAAAGGCATGCACACACGTGTCAAGGACAATGATTTCTTTTACAGAACTACTCGGTGAGACATTGATGGCAGTTGAGTTACGGCACTGCCGGCGGACCAGACGTCGCGGAGATTGATACTCAACAAGTAGAGGATTGAGGGATCTATGAATAGCCATCAAGAAGCATGAATGATCGTGACTCGTCGGCGGCTGCATCGGCGCGAGTCTCTTCCCGATAGCGGCGTCGATCGCAAACGTCGGCGACTAACGTCACTGTCATTCGCTCTATCGCCGACAACGAGCACACATCGCAATCATGGAGAAGCAGGAGTTCCTAGTGAATCTACATTACCTGCCGATCGCGGTCTTCGTCTCTCTGCCTACGATCTTCATTTTAACGTAATTTCAACCACATTCTTGAGTCATTAATAAGTAATTTATGCGTGTAATTACTGATACAACGATATCCTTTATGAGGCATCGTCAAGGTCTATCGCCCGCCAATATCTTCAATTCGCCCACCGTAGTAATCTTGCCCGTAAAAGTCGATAATGGTTAACAGAACAGATCTTTATGAGATTATTTTGCAATTCGCAGCTACGTGATCGCGGTCTTACTGGGACACGTGGAAGCTAGTTTTCCTTATATCTCCCAAGCAGCAGCTACCGCACCAGAGAGCTGTATTTTTTCTCAAGTCGTCAACATAATCACTCTGCTCAGTACGTATACAGACAGATAGCGCAATATTTTACGCTACGTTCACGGCCTTTCCTAATGTCGGCGAAACACGTGCAGACTTTCAGCCAATAAAATTAATTATATCGCGATCTAGAGCGTATGATCTTTCTATCACCGCGTCGGAATTTATGACGCTGACATTTCGTGTGTTGCAGTGGGCTTTATAGTTTACATAAGATACGCTCAAGTTCGAGAATGCACGAGCGTCTTTCACTCGTCGGCCTCATTACCGAAGTGGAACCATTGGGCCTTAATCTTCGGTATACTATCGACCGCCGGTTTATCGATCGTAGCAAACTTTCAAGAAACCTCGATGCTCGTGGTCCATCTTATCGGCGCGTTCCTCTGCTTCGGAAGTGGTACTGCGTATTTTTGGACCCAGGTACGTACGAAGAGGTCGCGCTCTCTGAGCAGCGACGAGACGCGAAGCTATTTCTTCAATACAAACTTGTAATTTACTTTGCACGATTGTTAATGTTGCAGGCCGTGTGTTCGTTTTATCTACATCCGTCAGGATGCTCATTGCGACTCGCGCACCTCCGCACAGCATTATCGACCTTCAGTACAGTTTGCTTCTTTATAATCGTCATCACAGGCGTGCTGGCCCGCCTGGCCTATAAGGGTTGGTTCGTTGAGCCTTAACCGTCGCTCATACCAGTGCACTAACACGTGAAAAATGTATTTCAGGAACAAACCCCCGAAAATGGTGCAAGGAGGACGGCGGCTGGGAATTGCACATAACTAGCACGATAACCGAATGGTTCTGCGCGATGACGTTTTGCGTTTATATCCTGACGTTCACGGAGGATTTCAGGGACATCCGGATAAGTCATCCGAAGGTAACTCTTCGCAAGTACAGATATCGAGATGGTCTTGTCGCGGAACAGAAAATATTCCAGTTTGTTATTTTGCATGAATCGAACATATCAAGTACTTATCAAATATCGCCCAATACAGGTGATATGCAACATACACGGATTAAGGTCGAGCAACGAGGCGCTGAACGAGAGCCAAAACTCCAGCGTGGTTCACGAGCGAACGAACCCATCAACCAACACCTGATCGCTCATCGGCAGAGGCGCCGGTGGCTACGTTAATCTCCTCTCGCACTCGCCGGTCGACACACCCTGCCCCGGCTACCGATACCGCGAGTCCAGGGACAACCTGCTGGACGAGACGGCGCCGTTGGTGGCGACGACGCCGCCGGCTCTGCCGATCTGCGATGTCGAGAGAAGTCCCGACGTCCTCTGCCCGGTGCAGGTGCACGTGCACGACCCCATGATACGCGAACGACGATGTCCCAGAGGCCACCGTTCCGAGAAGAAACGTCGAAGAGCCATCGAGAACCGCGCCACCAAGTGGGTAGACCTCGACGAGAATGTCTCGCACGGTTACATCCTGATAGACGACAAGAACCTCGGCCCGGGAGTTCCAGACGTTGATTGCGAGGAAGTGCCGTTTCCTGACAACACCGTCGACTATGACGAGAACAATGACGACAACGATGATGATGATAAGGATGATGACCACGAGGACAAGGACAACGACGATGACGACAGCCGCGACGAGAACGTTGGCAGCCACAGCAGACGCGGCGAGTGGTCGATCTACAAGCAGCTGAAGAGAAGCGCCGCGAAACAGTACCGCTGCGAGCTCGACTTCGGCGCGACCTACCCGCTCGCGAACAGCCACGGCAATGCTTACCAAGACTCGAGCAGCCACAGCAAGTACACGGAGCTGTATTCGGAATTTCGCGCCAAGAACAATGTCGACCCGAGTCACCGCGACTTCGACGTGACTTCTTCGTACTCGATGGCGAACAGCCACAGCGAGCACGTTGCTCTCGCCACCCAGGACCAGGTCAGGGATCGAGCTTACAGAGAGAATTCAGAAAGCGACAATCTGACCTGGGACACCAGACCGGGCGCGAATTACGAGATAGCTAACAGCCACAGCAACTACCGCGTGTTCTACGACAGTCAGACGCAGCATTACGCGTCAGGTATGATACCGCCATGGTGCTCGGAGCTGTGGCCGGAGAACCGCCGTGAAGAGGCTCACGTTGCGTCGGAAGACTCCAAGGATGCGAAGAAGCAAGATGGCAGTGAACGCACAGGCAATGCGGGCCAATCCGAGAAAAAGATCGAGAACGAGCAAGACTCGGACACGACCTGCGACATCGAGCAGTGCTTGGTGCAAATTGAGGAGAGCCTTCTGAACATCGAGCAGAACCTCCTGCACGTTCAAGATTTAGATATACCGGAGCTGAGGAACCTGCTCTACAAGAGCCCGAGCATCGAACGGAGCCTCTTTGAGGTACAAGATCTCCTTTACGCCGACGGTATCGTGCCGGTAATCTCCAGGAAATCCATGTCTCTCGACTCCGACGAAGAGGAAGAGGAGGAGGAGGAGGAGGAGGAGGAGGAAGAGGAAGAAGAGGTATGGGTAGGGCAGAATTTGACGATAAAGGACAACGACGACGAGGACGGAGATGCGAGCGCGCCTCTCTTAAACGGCTCTAACGAGGAGTCCTCCGACACGGCCAACAATGACGAACAGAATCCTTCGAAATCGACCGATGACTATTGTATCGACTGGGTGGACGAGTCCAATATTCTACGAGAGGACGAGAGAGATTCGAGTCTGCAGACGTGCGCGGAGAAGACGATGAATTTTGTGCCCAACAGTCTCAGCAAGACTCTGCCAAGAAGAATCGTCTTGGACGAAGTGAAGGAGAACATCAGGCTCTGCTCGTCCGAGTCCGAGGAGCCCACAATTACGATCGATTACAATCTGAACAGCGCATGCGCCGAAAAGAAACCATTCTGCCGCGACAAGTGGCACAGCAGGACGAATTCCTTGGACGAGAACTCGATGTTTCAGACTCCAGAGTTAGGCGGCAAGCAGGAAAACAGCAAGTCCTCGTTGCAGGACATCTTCCTGGAGTCCACGAGCAGTCGATTGGTTGTAAACGCGAAAGCACGATCGGAGGGCACACTGCAGACCAGTCGGAACAAGCAGCTGCGACGTGACCGAGGAGGATCCCACGAGGAACTCCTGCAGGCCGTTGAAGCGACGGCGGAGGACTTCCGGAAAAGACTCGAGAGTTTCGCGTCGCAGCGGCGATCCATGCTAGATCGGCAAAAGAGAACAACGCCCAAGTCTGCCAAGGAAGTCTCGGAGACTACAGCGTCGCGTTCGCGGGAGAAGTCGCCCGTGAGGCAAGTGAAACGCGAGACAGCCACAACGACAGCCACGGCTACGAGTAAGACCCAAGAAAAGGACAACGGCGCCGGTAAGAGTACCGGCTGCGACAAACGGAAGAAGAAGAAAACGTCGGGAGGAAAGAGCCAGAGCACGTCGGACAATGCCTTAGTGCCCAGCAAACTGATCTCACTCTCGTTATCGCTGCTTCTCGCGGCTCTTCTGCAGGCGGTCAGATGCTTGACGGATCTCGTGGAAGACGCTTTCAGATCGGTCAGTTACGACAGAAGCGGATTGCTGCAATAAAACCGCGGCGAACTTCTCCTTGAGAAAGCTAGAGTCCAGATAGTGGCGACGGATACATAATAACTATGTAAGAGCGATCGACCGCGTCAGGTCTCGACCAGGTCCGTAATCGTCCGAGTCGCATTCGATATCTGTGATAAACATTAATACTTAGGGTTTCTCGACGGCATCGCGTTACTCGCTGCTTCCATGTACCAAGATCGGGCAACCTACGAGTTCATATTATCAACAAGTAAACTGAGACCCGTCTGTACACTGTTTGTCAAGACTATGCTGTGAAACGTGATTACGATCGAGCCAATGAGCAAAGTAATCCGCGCTCCGAGACTATCTTCCGAAACGTGAGAGACCTGTATGGCGCTCTGTACGAGTGTACGCGTTACCTCGGAAAGCCGGACACAACGAAACGAAATGCGATAGTGCAAGGTAAATCCTCTTATCGATGGTGCTGAATACGGGCTAAGCGTGAACGATATTTAGTATTACGTTCAAAAGTGCCTAAACCCATCGCGTATCACATACACGAGGTGTAGTACACGATACACTATTGATAACGCTATTTATGTCTATCTACATATAAACTCCTTTTTCTAAGGTGTAAGATCATCAAGAGGAAATAAAGCGAGAGCCGAGGCGAAAAGACACGAAGCTTGAAATGTGAAAAAACGTGTACGTCGCTTTTCCCTGTTACTTTATCCATCTCCTTCGTACGACCCAAGATATAGATAATAAATCCGAAAAGTACTACACTGAGAAAAATATCCGAAATATCCGATTGTTACTTTCGTTATCCGATATCCAAATATCCGGTGTATTTAATCGGACATTTGATCGGATAACAAAATTAACAATCGGATGATTCTGATATTTTTCTCCGTGTAATGTTACTTCTGGAATATATTCGCCTCGAGAGAAATCTCTCGTTGATACAAACACAGTTGGATGAACACGAAACCCTATTATAAATTTATCATTTATCCGATAACAAAACATAATATCGAAAGTCTATCTGGAATCATATTTCTATATTTCCATCTGAAAGGATTCCCTTCTCAACCAAAGTCTTCTTAAGATAAAAGGAAATTAGAAGAGATAATATTTTAGGGAGATAAAATTATCTCATTTCAAGATTTAGAAAAGAGAGATATTTTCCCGTGGGTATTTTTTTTTCCAAATTAGGAGGAACAATTATTCTTGTCCCGCAACATACTCAAGATTACATTGAACAATGACTGATGTAGAATTTCTGATCATTTGCGAATTGCTATTGTCTGTAATTATACTGAGTAAGTGTTCCTCGCTCTATCTCTAATTGATATTCAACGATCAATTTGCCATTCCATTCAGGCTTTCCCATTATCCGATTTCGCAGATTCGCACAAAATGTTCTGTACTGTACGTGCGTTTTGGGGCGTAAGATAGTAGGCGAGGAGCGGAGGGGATGGAATTCGGATCGATGTTACGTGCTTATCGCACGTCAATCGAGGTCGAAGGGGTGACATGGTAACGCGACACGAACTGCTCCGAAATGTCCATTCCCTCAAATTCGAGTGTCTCGTCGTACAATCGGTTGAACATTCTCGAGTTTCCAAGTCGAAGCTATCTCTTGTGAAACTTGCTCGAAAGACGCTTATTTCTATGTTCGCCCATCATTATTGATAATGCGATGACAAGCACGTCACCGTTAATACAAAAGACTTATATAGTATAGTAATACTCTTGTACAAGCTAAAGCATAAGATGCTTAAACTAAATAGGATTTGAAAAGTTGCTATCGATCGTATAAACTTGTGCCGTTTGGACGGACATAATAATAAAACATGACAGAGCTATAAAACTTCAAACTTCCACGTCTGGCTTGTGTGTTTACACGCATTCCATCCACGTATATAGACAAAACTATACCAATCAATTTATTTTTAGATGAAAACTTTCAGGGTTCTCGTATCAAGTAGATTTCACATATGAGACAACGATTCCCAAATGCGAAGAAGAAGGTATAAAATCAGTGGAAACGCGTGAGACGATGTCACCATTACCGCGATATTTACCGCAGGGCTGTTTAATAAAGGCGAATAGATAGCATGGTCGGGTAAGTTCACTTTCGAGTACATCAATCGTTTAGAAACGACATTGGCCGCGTACTCCTGCGCGCTAGAGCCAGTTCGCCCGACTGGCCGGTGCCGACATAAAAACGCCATTACGAAGATGGAGAGCCAGACATCGAGCGGGTCTCTTCCGAGACTTAATACTAAAATATACTCTCTCGTGAAAACGAAATCGAACGCCGGACTAAATCGCACCCATTTTCCGCCGGAGAGAAAGCTCTCTCTTGCTTCTCGTGGGACTCGAATTTCGCGAACGTCCTTCCGCACTTTCCGCGGAATGCGTCTACCCCGGAGATATCGCGCTATTCCACGTAGATGCCGACCGCTTTATGCGAACACATCGCATGTAAAGGCACACGTATAACGGCACGTGAAACACATTACTGGCTAGCTACTGTCAGACTCTAACTCTCTTCGCAGTTCTCCTCGCGTAAATCGTCACGATGCCATTATTTATGCATTATATTGTCAACTCAACGAAGTTGACTATATGTACTCGTCGACTAACGCGCATGGACATAAATCTTAGGTCGCGAGTTGAGTGCCGAGAAAGTTGGTGGAAACAGATAATAGTGCGAAAAACGATTGCAATTCGGTTGAAGTTCAAGTAGAATCGAAGACTCTATTCTATTAACCGTTATCTATTTCTACCAGCTTCGCCGGTGTTTAGCTCGCGAAATTTCGCGAGATTTGCATTTGCACGCGCTAGTTGGAAAAAAAATAGTTGAGGAGTTCTATAATTGTGCTACTTGGTTGAATTGGAGCTATATAAATTAACGATGTCGCGAATGGGCTACGTTAGAAACTTGCTCCGCAGTTACTTCCAAGGAATATCTCCTAGCCATTTCCATAATTACCAACCGAACGGTACGTCTGCCGCTCAACGTGAAGCACTTGCAAGTGACAGGAGAGTGGGTGCAGATTAAAAGTAAATTGTTTCTTTCCGAGTCTTAAAATTACTAAAATTAAGAATGACAGATCTTTGTGTGCGGTCTTTTGTAAAATTCGCACTTTATATCTCAAGTCTAACGTCAGCTTCCTCAGCTTCAGTTCAAAGACACCCCTTTCAATTATCTCGACCACCTTCTCGATAAATGAAGGCGAAATTGATCATCTCGTTCTTCTTGTTCTTCGCTTTATTACTTTGTTACTCACGACGCACGCATGCACGTACGCACACGTACGCACATTTTATTCATTGCATTCGCGCATATGCGCGAAGGCAATGAATAAAATACAGTAACGCTACCTTGGAGCGCTCCATAGAGCACATGTGTGCATTCGCTTACGCATCACGCATTGCACGAGCGTCATAAGAGCAGTAATAGGATGGCTTTGTGTTTGGGTCGATGTATATTGCGTACCGGCTCGTGAAAACCACTAAAATTTCCATAGCGTCGGGGAACAATTGTCTAATTGTAAAATCAATCTCCGGAGCTGCGCATACAAAGACAATACAATAAAACTGCACAGAGAGAACGATTTAGTTGAATTGTTACACGCAACTATGTTTTTCTTTTAGGCAGCAGATAATAATTAAACTGTGAAAGACGTGCAAGACCAACTCCACGTCTGAATGCCTGAGTGTCAAGCGACAAAAAAAAGATATCTGGATGCCGAACTTGTGGTTCTAATTCGGGTGCTGGTCAGGCGAATAATGTGCTAGCCTTTTCATTTTACTCAAAACGTCACCTCGGTTGAGAGGATGGGGTTGTGGAAATTGCGTCAGGGGTCTAAGGTCCATGTCTATCTATTAGAACTTTGTTGTTAACATTTTCGGAGGTGGGGTTTTAGAGTTGTGCTGCAATATCTTTAAGATAATTGTCACGACGGGATGTGAAAAAGTTGTGAGTTCGTGAGGATTAACGAAATCAAATATCGACTGGTCAGTCTGGAAAGTGACTCAGGTTTTTCCTGACAAACAACTAGAGGACTTTGGTCTAGGGGGAGATAAAAAAAGGGAAATCGGTGTGTGATATCATCGTGCTCGAAGGCTCGCAGAACATGCTCGTTGAATATAACATTTAAAATGTAGTGAGCAACATAAAATCAATTCGCTCTATTTATAAAAGGATCTAGAATACGCGGAGTCCGCAGGACGTAACAAGTCTAACAAATGCTTATTTGGAATAGTCCAAATAAATTTTTCGATTGATCGAACAAAGTTTTGTTTGACGCAACAAAAATATTGTGTTGCAGCTTAGTTCTAACGAAATTCGTACGAAATGTTTCTGTTGCGTCAAACAAAACTTTGTTCAACCAAAAAATTTATTTGGACTATTCCAAAGCAGCGTTTGTTAGATTCAACTAAATCGTTCTCTCTGTGTGAGTAACCCCCATGGGCAAAATGTGTTCTATCTTTAAACTAAACTGTCAAGGATAATGATTAACCTAGGCTGATGAACATTGATCTAACCGGATTCTTCAGATAGTTCAACCGAGAACATCTCGCGATAACGTTCGAAGTTAGCGCGTGCTTTATTTAATCCCAACGCATTTGTATCATTTCGCGTTTAACGCAATAGGTAATAGAACGCTACACTCTGCAGCGATAATTATTCCGAAATACGTAACGCATGAAAATTCATGGTGGATAGTATCAAAGATAGTTCGTTTAGCCGAAGGAATAAGTAAAGTAATAAAGGCAAGCTCACAGCTCAAGTCATAAATCATTTCCGCGAATTTTAGTAAGAAGGAAACCGAGATACATACAAAATTTCGTGTAACTGTTTAAAATGGCGAACGTACAAATTTACATAATATGTACAAAGTTTGAATCGGCAATCACCCAGTTTAGCGAGTCATGCGGTGAGAGCTTCAAAACTCGAAAACCGAGAGAAAGAGAGAGAGAGAGAGAGAGAGAGAGAGAGAGAGAATGGGAGGAGGAAGAAC